TTTCCGACCTTACGCAATCAGGACGGCAACGCCAAGGAAGACTTCGATTAAAAAATGAATTTCTTCTCTTAGTTAGAATTTCAAAAATGGTTGCAGGAGCTTACTGTCTCATACAGCGCCACAGCTCAACTTCAGCATGACGTATAAAAGTAGCTTCGAGTTTCAAATGGAAATTAAAATAATTTGCCGTCGCGGTTTCGGTTCGCAGACGACGCAAATTTTGGCGATTTCACGTTGTTGTTTTGCATAGGACGGCTAAGAAATGTACAAAATTTCAAAACGCACTTGCTGAGCTGTTGTTCTGCCGATCAGATCTCTTGTTTTTCCACGTCCTCGTTGCCGTCGCCGTCGTGGTTGCGTAAGGTCCCTAAAGTCCCTACTACTGTGGCCTAAAGCAAGGCTACATGAAGACAATGAAAGATCTTTGGGAGGAGAAAGGATATGAAGACCTGGGCTTTACGAGCCAACATTTACGGGATCAATCGGCGAAGTTGGAAAAGTCATTGGGCAATGCGAAAGCTTTGATTTCTGCTTGTGTTGGCTCAAAAGAAAGTCAAAGTACTAATTCTCCTGGAGAAATGAATTTTAATTGCGCGACGAATTTCCAAGATGCTAATTCAAACGATTCCGTAGATTTGCATACGGTTGACAGAGCTTTGATCCCAGAGGAACAAGTTAACAGCCTAAAAGAAGAGGCACGTGCGTTGGTGGACGGGGCAGCTCTTGTTCTCGCGCGGGTGTACACGCAAGAGGGTGAATTCATCAACCGGGAAATAGACGCGAAGATTTAAGAAAAAACCTACGATGAACGATCTGGACAATATAAATAAGGCGATAGCTGAGCTAATGGAGCAGCACAATATTTCTCCGACCGAAAATCCATTCAGCTACCAATGGACTGCAAATTGTGTACTATATTCGGTCGTACCTGCGTTTCTTTTTCAAAATGGTTTGAAAAAGCAGGGTCCGTGCAGACGTGTAAAAGATGACAGAAGTAAGAGGGACTATATGGCTGAGGTGGGAGAGATCAGGAGAAAGATTTCAATCGCAAAGGCTGAGTTGGATCGCGTGAGAATCAATGGGGCGCTAACGAAGAAAAGGAAACGGAACAGAGTTATTTTACAGGAGGAGTGTAAACGCATCTCGGCGGCGGAGTTAGTAAGTTATATGGAGAAGCAAAAATCCCTTCTCAGGAAACTTAAGAGAGGATTTTATCGGAGACAGAAGCACGCGGAAGCAATGCGCGTAAATTACCAGTTTAAAGTAGACGCGGGCCAGGTTTACGCTAACACGAGAGAGTCATTGGACAAGGATAAAGAAGACAAGTGCAAGCCAGTGGATGACAAAAATGAAAATAGAAAGAGGTTTGAGAACATCGAGGAGGCGAGTAGCTTTTGGATACAGCTCTAGAGAAGTCAAGGGACTGGGAATAGAAACGCCCAAACGCTCGAGGATATAAGGTCTGCAATTTATAGTCGAGTTCCTCCACCGTCAGAGAAGGCCTGGAAGCTAAACACCATGGAAGCTACAAGGGTACTAGCAAGGAAAAAGAACTGGAGCGCCCCGGGTCCAGATAGGTTGACCAACTTTTGGTGGAAAAAGGCATACGTGCTTCATGAAGGTGTGGCCATGTCGTTTCAGGCTATAGCGAATACCAATGTAGAGTATCCACCCTGGTTCTCTGAAGGCAAAACCACACTACTTCCGAAACCCGGAGAATTCACAAGTGATAACCAGAGGCCGATAACCTGTCTAAATACTCTGTACAAGTGGTTCACTTCGTGACCTGCAAATCAACATCTAGAAACGCATGGTCTAATGGATAGAGCTCAGAGGGGTGCACGCGCAGGCAGTAGCGGAACCATAGACAATTTAATGATTGACAGAGTGGTGACCTTAGACTGTCATAGGCGAAAGCGGAATTTGAGTATGGCGTGGATTGACGTCAAGAAGGCGTACGATTCGGTAGACCATGGTTGGTTGGAGGAGATGATGATCTTACATAGATTCCCTATCTGGTTGTCAAGGACGGTAGAGAAGTTAAGCAAGAGCTGGAACACAAGGGTGGTGGCGACAACAAAGCTAGGACGCGAGAAATCTGAGCCAATCAGGTCTCTTAAAGGTCCACCTCAGGATGATGCTCTCTGTCCCAGACTCTTCACGGTTTGCTTGAATCCTATTGCGTGGAAGATCAGTGCCAGTGAGGGCTAGAAGCTATCTAAGCTAAGTGGTGTAAAGGTACCAGATTTGTTGTATATTGACGATCTAAAGGTCTTTGCGTCTTCGGAGAGTAAACTAAGCCGTGTTATGGAATCAACCAAGACTGCGATGGACGATGTCGGACTCCAATGGAGCCCCAAAAAGTGTGCGGTCGTTCATGTACGAAGGGGGGTATATACCCCTACCCGTGATGCCACAGGGCTGAGGGAAGATGAGAAGATCTGTATTTCTAACCTTGAAGAGGGCAACCAGTACAAGTTCTTGGGTGTTGGAGATGGTGAGGCAAGATGAGATGTAGTTGGAAGGCGCAGCCAAGGAGTATCTTCGCAGAATGTCTTTCATCTGGTCAAGTCTCGTGTTATAATCGTGTAACAGCCTCGAACCAATTGCATTACCAGCGCTGGGCTACCTGATGTGGACACAACAATGGCCGGTGGCAGAGCTTAAAAAATAGGATAGAGAAGCTCGCAAAATAATTGTTAAGAATGGTGGAAGACATCCAAGCGGGTCAACTGCCATTTTATACCTGCCAAGAGAGAAGGGAGGGAGAGGCATGCGTTCGATCGAGGAAGAGTACAAAGTAACGAAGATAGAGGCGGCAGTGAAGTTATATAGTAATAGCGACCTAGCCATGGCGATGGTTCGTGAGTTTGAAGAGAGAGCGGAAGAGTTAGGACACAGTTCGTTGGTTAAAGAGGCAACAAGGTATGCAGATGAGATGGGTCTCCAGTTGCAGCTGGAGTACCCGTCCAGCTTGCATAAAACGTGATAGTGGAGAGGTGATAACAGCAGAGAAACTGAAGGTAGAGCTGAGAAGGGTTTTCGAAGAGAAGACATGGGAAACGGTGCATGAGCAGAATTGGCAGGGGAAATTACTCTCTGCGAGAACAGAAGACGAGAGTCTTAACTTCAACGGATGTTACTGGTGGCTAAGCAGTTGGAAAGAGTGCCCAACACATACAGTGGCGGGGATGTTTGAACTCTATCAACAATTATTACCGACGAGGTTGTATGGCTGCCAGAAAACGCACACAGACACAACGGGTGAGGTGAGGTGCAGGTTATGTGTTAAGGCCCCTGAAAGTGTCGCTCATGTCCTGGCTGGTTGTACCGCCCTCGCACAGAATAAGTATCTTACCCGACATAACGCAGCCTTGAAAATACTTTTCTTTGAAATTCTGCACGACCTAGGCCTTGTAGACACAGTCCCCCCTCGGTACTCACCATTGAAACCGAAGCCGGTGTACGAGGCGAACAATGCGCAAGAATTCTGGGACGTTCCTTTATTTGCGGAGCACCAAGAAGTTAGAGCCAACAGAATAGATGCGCGTATTATCGACCATGAATCAAGGCGAGTCATCACGCTGGAGATGAGCTGCCCATGGATTACAAATAGGGGGAAAAAGAATGAGGAAAAAACCTCGAAATACGGACTGCTTCGTTGGGAATTAAAGCGGAAGTACCAAGGATATGAAGTGAAACAATATAAAATCATAATGGACGCACTAGGAGGATGGTGTCGTGACTGAAGCCGAAATGGAGTTGGTCGGAAACAGGAGTAAGGGAGTTCTTCAAAATATGCAGAAGGCTGTGATCTCGGCAACACCAAATACCTCTCGGACATTTAAAGTTGTAACATGAACAACGAACATCGCTTTCTATTTCAACTCTTTGCCTTCAAAAAATCTGTGGATTATTAGAAACTTAGGAAGTGATCGCCACTGATTAACTCTTTCATAGCCGAAATAAGTAATAGGTTTTTAAGATTTTATAACGACTATTTTAGATTCGGATACCCGAAATACCTATTTTTTAAATTTCTCTCGGTTTTTTTCACTATAGTTAACGGGCTACGCTCATGCGCCCCGTCATACTATTCTTACTGTATATAGCCTACAAAAGTTTTAAACTGCTGCATAATAAGTTCAAGCAAGTAACTTTATTTGAGTTTTTTACTTATTTACATTTTACTTGTGGAAGGTGGATTAGCCGGCAAGATACAAAAATAACTCGAAGAAAAGTTATATTTACAACCTCGTCAATTATATGCAATTATGATCCGTTTCAGTTTAAATACAGATTCTAACCACGACCACACCCAGGGCAATAGAAACTTGCACATGCTTTACTGATGGCTGAGAACAATCCCTAGTCGATTGCTATCTTCATATAAGTACCTCAACCCATTAACCAATTGCTGAATAACTGAATAAGTTTACGCATCTTATGAATTCGCTTGTGAATCTATTGCAACAGAAACGTTAGTTAACATGACGGAAATTTGCACAATCAAAAGCGTTGATAATCCATGTCTATTTAAATCATTCTTTAGGAAAGCCCAGCACACATACTGACATAATTGCATTAATTTTCATAATACATCAGTTTGCGGGTAATTACAGTGGTTGTCAAAAGGTATCTTGTGCCTCTGCTAAAACACAGAATTAATCAAAAGTTTAAACTTAGTCTTTCTACTTCCGTCTTAACGTGGGCAAAAAATTGAACAGCTTTCCAATGTTTTAAAAAATTCCGCCGCTTTACTGCTGTTGCTATGAATTCACACGCGAGCCTGTGAAAGTAGAGTCATACGCGAACGTTAGTCAGCTCTGTCCTGACAACCAACAACTGATTTACGATTTCCCTTAAATTCCCCTATCAAGCTGACCCGGTTGTTCGATGGATAACGCTATACACTGGATAAATCTCTATCTAGCGCCGTACGTTTTAGTAACAATTATCCGCTGGATAGCGATTTATCTGTTGGATAGCGATTTATCTGTTGGATAGGATTTATCCGTCGGATAGCGATTTATCCGCTGGGTAGCGATTTATCCGTTGGATAGCGTTACCCGCCCTTTGAACAACTGGAGCCTGATGTACATCACCTTGCTATCTCGTAAGGAGAATTAAGATAACATTAGCTAGATAGCCCCAAGTGGGAGGAAAATGAAAATTATGGGAGAAGAAAACTCCTTTTGCTTTAAGGGTGACTTGCAGAGCACAGCACATAATAATTGAGCGGGACAGTGTAGGATATTGCCTGATTCTGCCAAATGAGACCACGAAGTATGAGGCATCATCCTGTCTCTATATAGAAGTTAAATTCTTTATATTTAACTTAGAATCGATGTTTAATTCCACAATCCACAGCTTAACTTATTCAATATGCTCTACAAAAAAATCTGCTTTTACAATTGAAAATGAAGAAATGAAAAAAAATTAACTGGTTTCAATACCAGTTCAAAACTTATTTAGTTTCTTTAGTTATTTTTGAGGCGAAACAACAAAATTATCCAGTTTCAAAGCAGGTAAAAACTCATGAATTTTTTTTTTTAACAGAAAACTCCGACAGGTGAGATAAGTCATGAAAATACAGTGTATCATTTTGCAGTGACCAAAGTCCCTGCCCTACATATACTCTAGCCCTATCCAGCAGGTTTCAACCTTCCTTTAGCACAAGTTTTAATATCATTAATTGATGATGTTGCAATGCCCCACCTTGCTTTGACTGGTATTTTCACAGACCTTCTGTACATTGTACTGGTTCATTAATCTGCATGTGCATTGTCACATTTTTTTTTTCCAACTTTTTTCCACCCTTCACAATTATGAATTGATTTGAATTTTCATGTACCTAGACTGTACGCTTTTTGTAATAGATGAAAGTTTTGATGTCTTCAGTTTGAGAAACAGTTTGGTTTAGTCGGCTACCTGGCACTCAAGTGCCACTGGCAAGATAAGATTGTAAACATTACCATGCCTACATGTAGCTCATGATTTACAGTAATTATAATGTCGTAAACCAAATATGTTGAGAACTAAAATAATGCTGTGCTTTAGTTCTAACTAAAGCAAATGAATGAACAGTGGTTTACCAATAGTAAAATCATATATGTAAATTTTCTATATGTATGTGTGACCATAATTTTTTTCCAACAAGTTTATTTTTACAGTACATTACTTGTTCCCCACAGGCACTTTTCCTAAATTGAGATTTTAAAATATTTTTGCAGGAGTCATGCTCAAAGTAATTTACGTGCTCTTTCAACTAAGGTTTTTCTTATGACGGTATGACTGATCATTTCTATGTCACTAACTAAAAACTATTCAAATTCTTTTCAGTGATTGCTACACTGTATACACTCACTTCAGCCATTGGGAACCTCCAAAACTTCAGAGAGACTGCAGGTCTATGTGCTATACACTGAGACTGTGGAGTCATAATTCTTGAGGAAGCAGAGCATTATTAGGTCACACTTTAAAAAGTTTTGTGGACTACTTGGGGCAACAAAAATTGTTGATTCCTTGTCAGACACTTTCTACAACTGACAAAAGCTGACACACACTACTGGGATATCTAAATGGCCCATCATCCACACAAGCCTCATGGCTCAAGTAGAGAGTTATTCTGCTTGAAGCAGGAATCCCACCTTGAACTGAGTACATGAGATCTATTTACAGTGAAAGAGCGCTCATGACTAGATATTCTCTGGGCCCTCCTGCGGAACATCCCTGACTAAGATTATACGGTTAAAAGCTCGCAGGCGTTTCCAGAGTTGCACATACACTTTACACTGGACATACATAAACACCAATCCTCCAGTGAAACCAATAGCTACCACTACCAGTTTGGTCCAAAAAGGCCAATCTAACTGTCCTTCCTTGATTTCCTCAGCAGTGCGCTCAATAAGAACCCACAGAGACCACACCACACATGTGATGGCTATCACATGAAATGAAACTGAGCACAGGATCTTGCGACGCTCACTCCTTGTCATGTCAAGAGCTTTCCACTGTTTTAAGATAAAGAGAGTTTTGGAATACTTAGGATATATCAACAAAGTTGAAATGGTAAATTGGCCACCGTAACGATTACAAAAGCTGACGTTTCGAGTGTTAGCCCTTTATTGGAGCAAAGGGCTAACGATCGAAACGTCAGTTTTTGTAATTGTTACGGTGGCCAATTTACCATTTCAACTTTGTTGATATATCCCAATTATTTCGTTACTCCCACCGACGCAGCCCCAAACAATTTCGTTCGAAACTATCAGCCTTTATTCATTTGGAATACTTAGGGCCACATGTATACCATGATATTGAAAAAAAAAAAAAAGAAAGATAGAAAACATTAAGGCAAAGGAATAGTAGAGCAGGAAAAAAAAAGTGACACCTGGAGTTAAATCTGCATGTATATAAAAAAAACAACCCGTTTTTCTGGACTAAATTATTTGGTCTTTATGCTCTTTGTAAACATCAAGAGATAAACCAGGTTACTCAAATCAAAAGAAAGTTCAAACACAGAGAACACAAAAATTTTCAAATGTGTATACATGTATACAACTTGGCATATAGTTAATAAAGGTACAGTATACATTTCCTTCTACATATACAATTATTCATTCAAAACTTGCACACTCAGCAACTAACCTTAGTTATGGGCTTCATTTTTGATTCCATGCGGAACTCGTATTTGCAGAGTTCACATTTCTTGGTGTCCGAGCTTTTAATCCATCTCTGCAGGCAACTCTGATGAACATACTGCAAAGACCCAGCACACAAACATGGAGAGATCAGAGGTTGGTCAGGTTCCGCCTCACAGTGACATATTCTGCAGATCTCAACTGATGAAGCCACTGAGGTCATCGAGATGCTTTTCTTGGGAGGAGCTTTTGGTTTATCGTTGCTGTTTTCCGTTGATGCTGTTATTTGCCCCTCTAATGACTTTGGTTTCAAAATCTGTAAAGACACAAATAATACACTAAGTGAGAGGAAAATAAAAAAAATTGGCCTTCCCTTTGGACAAGCTACTTCTTAGGTTTACAACATGTACATGTGATCCAGAGCTCTGAGAGGCAAGCCCAAAATTAAGTTTATCATGAATCAAAGGGCTGCATTATGATAAGTGGTCAGTAAATTCATAAGATAACAGCTTCTACCAAATACATTGTATCAATAAGAAATTAAAATATTGTTTAGATCTTGTAGCAGCCAAAATAATCAATTCTTGAATATTATATGTAGTTTTTTTAATGGATAAATGAAACCAATGTTCCAAAAATAATGGTACTGAATCAAACTAGCTGTTGTTTAAGTTGTTAAATATGTACTAACATGGCATTTGTATTCTAGGCAAAGAATGACTGGAGGTGTAGGCTTTCAACTGAAAGCCTGAAAATATTAATGCGAATAGACATTGAAGGACCAAAACTTGCTGACTTTGACCCAAGGGCTGTAGTTCATAGGTGGTATATTGGAGGGGAGCTAGCTCGACGTCCTAACATCCAGCCCTATGGTCCCCATTGAATGTCTTTATCATGGAGACTAGCATCATAAAAATGAATCAAAACTAGAATTGATGCATGGATATTATGTTGCTGGTTCTAATATGTAAACTTTTGTTGTAACTATAACAATAACTCAGTTACTTTCATGGTGCATTTCTTCAGCATTCACCTAGAATCTTGTGACTTGCCCATTTAGCTTGTAGATCTCATCTCTACAAGATATCTTTATTTTGTGACAAAAAAAAAAAAAAAAACCACTTTCTAACCCTGTAATCAATTGCAAAGTTTCAAAATGTAGTTTTCATTCTCGATCATCTCATTGACAAAGAGATTTACAATGACTTGTTAACACCACAACCTCACTAAATATATATCATTCGATGTACAAGTAGTTGTAAATTGCTAAAAATTCCGCAGGCAGAATGAAAGTTCCACTTACGAAATCCTCATCCATAGCATTCATTGCTACACCTATAGGACTCACGAACTGATCATTAATTGTAATGTTAATTGAAAAATTACACGAATAAGTGTATATGCAGTTAAAAAATGAATCAACATAAAATGGAAACAATAATCCACCAAAAAAAACCCAAAACAAAATACATTGTAAGCTTTGTTACGCAGACATCATACACCAAACCAAAACAATCATCAATGGCAGTGTAATTAATAGACACGTGGCCTTGAAAAGCTTTAAATTGTACATGTATCCCTCTTCCGATACATTTGCTGACACTCCAGATCACAACCTGAGTGAGACTGGTGGCTGTTCTTACCAATGCTTGCAAAGTCAGCTCAGTACTGACTACCAAAGACTTTGATCACAATTCCAATCTTTCACCTTTTATCACAAAGCAATTTCATTGGCGCCACTAATTTTATATCATACAAATCAAGCATCACCCTACATGTAAGAATATGGATTATTTTTCCACTTGCTTTCGCTTATTTGTTCAACTAGCTTTTCATCCCTTGTATGTAAACCAAAACAAGTAACCTCTACTCCTTCCACAAATGAGTAGTCTTGTTTTACAGGTATTTCAAGTCTAATGTTTTTCCTAGACTTTGGCCTGGGGACATTTAACCACTGAAAAACAAAACTAAATGTTTTTCTCTAGACCAGACATAACTTGTTGATGTGTTTAGTGGTAAAATTTAGTGAGAATAGTTTGAAATGCTACTGTATACAGTAGGCAGATGTTAGGACAATACGAACAAGTCACATTTAACAAGACATACTTAAATAGCATGTTGAGTGATTCTCAAGAATCGTTACATGTCCTATATATGTACTGCATATGATTATGGTGTGCCTGTTAATAGAGGGTTGACATTACTTCCACCTGCCAACTTTTCCAAGTTCCTTATTGGTACACCATTTTGTGGGTTATTAATTTTGCAATTTATTTTAATGACTGCATTTTTCAATTTCAATAGGAAAACATGAAAAAAAAGGGCATTCAATTTTGCAATTCAAGCATTCTCAATTTCATTAAATTTTCACAATGTCTTAAAATTCCATGACTGCACATCATTTCACAACAGAAGATACAAAATACACATCACCAGAAAGACCAGTTTACAATTTGTGTATTCATTGATACACATCCTGTATAAATTGATGCTATTACATGTTGATAATTTTTTTTTTCTGTGATTTGAATTTTCTATAGGGGATTCAGGATATGGTAGACCTTTGAGAGCCAATTTTTTTTTTAATCTTTTTTTTTTATGTCAAACTAAGCACTCTTATTACAACTATAGTTTCCAGGAAAAATTTGGTAAAATATTGAAACCAAGTTATTTACAAGAACATATTTTCAAACTGAATTCTTCAGCCCACCAAAGTGTGAATGGCCAATTCTAACATGTCAACATAAATGACTCCTGAAGGGTTTCTTGCTGCAAAACATCCTGGTCCATGAATTTCAATTGCATAGACATCTCCTGCTTTCAGTTGCACATGAAGATCTTTGCTAGCTCTCTATATTTAAAACTGGAAAGTGAACGGAGGGTAAAAAGGAGAAGAGTCTATAAGTGAAAGAAGAGGTAAACAAATTTGACCTAGAATGGCAAAAGAATCTCACTGAAATGGATAAGGACTCCTGGTTTAGGCAGTCTTTTGCTGCTCACACTAGCTCAGCAACCATTAAGTTTTGCTGCAGTGTGCTTAAGCTGCTTTTAAGTTGAAAAAAGGCTGACATCAAAATTGCCATTCAGGAGAATTGAACTAAAAGTCTGTCACAGGTAACTGTTAGATAGTTACTCGCACAATATGTTTTTGCTGAGAGTCTCCACAGATTCTGAAGGGTGCTTCTGTGTTTCTATTGGCTATCAGCATTTGAAGTTTTTCAGAGTGTTGACATAACTTTACATGTGGTCACCCAAAGGCGTAAATGGCCCAAATGGCCTTTGACGTAATGCAAATCAATCAAATTTTGACCAGCAAACTTGAAAGAGATGTTGTAAAGCAACCAATGGGAATGTTGAAAAATCTCCACATGGTTTTTAAGAACAACCCCTTGTCATTGAAATTGTGTGGTAGTTTTATTTGTGCAGTCAGATTTGATGTGATTAATTCCCCCTAAGCAACATTGTCCATTTTGATTTGTCATGCTCCCTTTGTTTACAATAAGATGGAGCTAAAAAGAAATAATTTTTGCTGAATAGTACATTTCATAACCATTCCCTTGATATATAGTTTATGGTTGTTATGCTTTAAATAGTGTATTGGACATTTTTTTGCGAAGAAAACCCACAGGGTCTCCCATATCCTTAAATTTTACAAGGCTGTAAGTACCAATAAGGTATGGATCTGAGATTTTCCTTTCTGCATTAGTTGCATTAGGGACAAAGCCATGCTGGCTTAAGTAGTTCAGTTTTGGTGAAAGTTAAGAGTTGCTTTTCATTTCTTGGTTATCATTCCTAAATGTAAGTGTTTGAAAAATACACATGCACAACATGTTCATATTACCCAACATTGATGTGTTTTACTGCTCAGCCAGAAATCAGTCGTATCTGTGGGATATTCATCGAAGTGTGCAACCAAAATTACTTGCTAACCCTCACAGACCTTTTTACAACTACATGTAGGCACTAATCTATAGTAAACAATTTAAGGGTTTCTCTGAGGGAAGCTGTTTACTGGAGTGCTATCATGTTTCCTTACATTGGTTTGCTTAACACACCTATACATGATGAAAAAAAAAAAAAACCAAAAGGCCTTGCTAATACATACTAATGAGGTATGTGCACACATATGAAACTTTGATGTGCATATTTTTCTAATATTTGCAGTTGCATATAATTTTTGAGGGTGTTTTTCATGCATTTTTTGGTTACCATATATTTAACAATTATTTGCCAAAGTCGAGGTGAATATTGTTGGATAATTCCTGAGACCAAGTTGAGGGGATTATTCAACAATATTCACCGAACCTGAGGCAAATAATTGTTTTAGTATAATTTCAGAGCTGCACAACAGAAATTTCTAAAAGTACAACATTTTAGTAACATTTATTAACATTTTACATAAACCGCATGGAGCCGTTTATTTAGTGTCATAGAAGGAACCACTCGACCAATCAGATTGCTGGAAACTCTTTGCTCAGCTCTGAAATTATACTAAATATATATATATATATATTAGCGGTCCTGTACACTTTAATGGTAGGCTTCTATTCTTATTAACATCTAACAAAGTTAATAATTGTGCTTTTGTTAAGAAAAGACAGCCCTTGCATTACTGTAGATCATTCAACCCTGTCAAAGAAAAACTTTGTGGCACACTGGATCTGTAATTACCTAACATACCACACAAAACATTATTTGTGAAAAAAGTGAATTACCAGTAACAGAGTACTTTTGAATCCAAAAAGTTGCTTGTAAGATATGATTTAAAAGAAGACATAGAGAACAATATTCAATTATACTGCAGAACATTCACCTTACAGATGGAAAGAACTCTGTGCACAACTTCACACCATGTCCTACACGAGCCCCATTTGAGGCCAAGCAAGAACAATCATGCATTCAAACTATTTCTCAAGGTTTATATATAGATCATCCTGATTACACAAAAATTTTTGCACCTGCATATGAAGTGAAACCATCTCTTCTGTGAAGAGTATTACACACAATACATGTTTGTACAATAATGCTTGTATAAAAATAAACAGTTTTAAAATAGGCTGAATAACATAATCTTTGGATTGGTTCTTACTTTTGATTTATCAACAGACAGATTCATGTTGTCATCATTATTAACCCCAATATTTGCTTCCTCATCAAATAGAACTAATAAATTCCTTGTTGTTGTGCATCTCTACCCTAATGAATCACTGATGGTGTCAAAATGCAGAATGAACATCCCTGCGACTTTTTTGGTCTTACCATATTTTGAAACCATCTGCAATCTTACTGATCAGACAACACAGAAACATGGAATCTATGCAGTAAAAAGATATAGACATATCATGTCTATGGGCTGTCCCAATTGCCCTAAGAGTGCACTATCTTTAACTCGCTCCGACAAAGGGCTAACGCTCAAAACATCAGCTTTTATAATCGTAATGGTGGCCAATTCACCATTTCAACTTTGTTGATATATTGAAATTATATCTTTAACTCTGCAGAGTTCAAGCAAGGATCTTGCAAGCAAAATGGTGAAAAATCATGTATAACTGAGAACATGATAAGTTATCCACTCTATGATAAATTGGTATAATGAGAAGTCCCAGCTATGGTTACTAAAGAGAGAAATGGAAATCTTAAATTCTTAAATGAGAATAGCAACTGCAATGCAAGAAAACTGTACAACATGGCTGAATGCCCAACACCATCTAATTTGAGTCCATACGATAAAACACATTGCCATCTTATGATTCACTACGTTGTAAGAAATAGAAAATTGTCCCTAAGATTTGGTAAAAGAAGTGTGCAAAACAACACTTAGTTTTTGATTTGTTTTGCTTGGCTAAAAAGATAAATACAAGCAAGCATAAGAAGTTGAGCTAATAGAGAGGAAATCTTCGATTCTTTTGTCTAGACATCTACAGAATCACATTAACTGTGTGATAAGGGCTTGAATAAGAAAATATTACTCCTTCAATCAAAATTCCCAGATCATTTGAATTCAACCAGCTTGTCTTCAAAGAGTCATTGTAAGGAAACATAATTGCAAAACGCATAATCTCAGCGGATCGGTAAAATCTATTCTTTATGAGCCGTTGTGGGGCCTTGCAAAATCAAGTAAATAACACGTTTAAAAATAATATCGTGACTGATAACTTCGATTAACGCACTGACCAACGAAACAATCTGACTATCATTACTCGTGATCTGCTGCAGACTTTGAACCGTGCAGCAACGAATACTTGATCTGAACTCGTAAAAATTTGGATTACAATTATACCGATATCTACCGCACAGAAATACAACATCTAAAGTAAAAGAAACTCAATAAAATACTACATACTCCGTATCAAACCTCGTATTATTAAAAACAGGAAAAACTTCATAGATGTTCATCGCACGAAACTTGAGTCCACGTCCGGAAATCGCAACAGTCTGCAAACCATAGAAACCCTCACGTACACCGTGATTATACCACAGCTTCGTACAATTCCTGAAAAATGTTTTTCACCGATACAGAAATTCTTATCGTTTACTTGGAGGTTCAGCAGTCGAACATTCAGAGCTAATCAACCCCATTCTGTGAGAAATCATTACCATTTTCCTAGAATCAAACAGCGCTCCTGCAAGCTTGTGTAACTTTACACTCGTAAAATATTTCGTGTGGAATTTGGTTGCAAACAAGGCGCTTTAACTCTACGAAGACAGCAGCAATAACCGACAGAAAAATACTTTCAGTCGCACAAAAATCTATTGGACGACACAAGTCAAAGTTTTAAAATATGGCGAGGAAAACAAAGTAATTTTTATCGCGCACGCAAGCTTGCTGTGAAAGTGATCGCAGCATCTTGTTAAATCCAAGTAAAACAGTAATCCCACACAGGAAAACGAAATGAATTTGTAATCTTCTCATTTGCGAAACTCTCATCATGGCTTTTTAATACAAAACACTTTTATTTCATCCGTGGCTTTAAAAGAGCTATGTTTACTGCAGATTTCACCCGGCCTATCCTATGACCTATCTCATCATTGGATAAACAAAACGCGAAGGTGTAATGTAGAAAGTCGAAGCCAACTTTCTCCGCTAAAATACCGGAGAATTGATCTTTATCGGATAGATTTAGGCTCTAAAAATGTTCTTACTTGCGTAACAACTTACTTTTCTGTCTTTGTTGTTTGTCTGTTGCAGAGTCACTGGGTTCACGACAATTTGCTGAACGGGCATCGTTTTCGCCTCTCGAAACCCGAACATCGAACGATCAATTCAGCAAGTCCTTCACCCACAACGCCAAAAATTCCAAAGCCTGTACTCCATTGAAGTTGAATATTTCTTTTTCTTGGCAAAATAAAACGTACGAGGCACAGAAACAAGTGTTTAGATGGCGACGGTCCCCTCAACGATATAGAGGAAAAAAAATGGCGGATGTTTGAAACCTTCTGAAAAAGCTGCCAGGAGTGACTAAAATAACATCGTGACGTTGAGAAACATCTGGATCGTGATTGGTCAATGGGTGATTTGTTCAGAAATGAGATTCGGCTCAGCATTCGAGCCGAACGCAAACAAGGAAAATTTTGACGAACATCCTGTCTGCAGTTTGTCGCAATATATTTTTTAATTGGAAGCATGTTTTGACTGCACGAATAATCTTAAATCTGAAATTCATAGTTTATAATCCAAAAATTTATTGAGGCTGACCGAATCCCTTAGAAAAATCGTTTTAGAAAGATATCAGCGAGCGAGATACTGCGTAATTCTTCACCTGCTCTTAATGACTTCATCAACCTTTGGGGTAATAATTCAATCGCCTTGTCAAATTCAAGTTTGGAGCGACGGCTTTTAATAACTTTAGTTTCGAAGCCTCTTCAGTTTTATTATAGATTCTTATTCTTATTATAATTTTTTTTTTTTTTTTGTCCAGAGAAGGGAGAAGTAGTCGTAATACAATGACGTTGACAAGGAAGTTGTTTTCCCCAGGGATGGATTAACCTGAGGTCCGAACAGAAAACTATATCATTAAATCTTCCTCTGACCTCACTTTTACACCACCATCTCTACCAACTGAAAATCATTGAAAACTCTAAAATGCGACAAGTGATGTTGGTTTTATACGAAGGCCGCTTTGCGTGGTACAAGAGCTGATCATTAATTCACGGTAAGATGGTCATATACCGACAGAAAAAATTTCTACTATTTTCTCCTCTTAAACACACCGAGAAAGAAATATGCTGGAAGTCTTGATCCACCAACCACAAAATCGTTCTCTAAGCCAGTACGCTAAAAAAGGACATAAAAACTACATGGAGCTATGACGCAGTAGGAGCAAAATAAGAGACTTGTCTGTTTTTCTAGTTTAGATCTAATTTTTCCCCGTCCTTCAAACCAATCCCAGATTGTTTTCTGGTTAGTTATTCCTTCCCACGGAATCATCTTCACCTGGCTAAGAAATAGATTCTTATCACCTACGTAAGCGATATCGAACAGGAAAAGTGTTGATCCAAGTTAGGTGCCCTATCAGCTCACAATATAAGCCAGATGGGTTATCATTCAGTTCCTATGACATTTAAAATAATGCACGATTTATCAGCCAAGCAAGTCAAATTTTAGCCAAACCACCGCAATTCTTAGTTTTAAGCGTTGCACCAGTACCGCCAGTTTTTTAATCATCTTAAAGTGAAAATGTAGACTTGCAGTTAGATGTGTGTTATGTAGGAAGCTATATTATTTACGAATTTTGATCGGTTCGGCTCACTTAGATCTGTTGAAGGACAGATGCATAGATCAGATCAGGTCATCAATAACAATGTTCACTTGGTTCGCTGTCACAGAAGACGTCAGTGTGGCGATAACACCAGTGACACACTCGTCTGTGCCTCGTGCGCGCCGTGGGCCACTTTTGGAACCCACCTTTTTTGTTTTTTTTTTTGCTCTCACCACATTTTAACGTCATCCGTGGTCGTTAACCGAACAGACGCTAGGCAACACGCAATCGATTTGTTCATTTTAGAACATGCTTGAACTTTGTGGTTTAATTGCGGAAACTGAAAATTCAGTTAAGCTCATTCTAATCTGCTGTAGCGCACAAGAGAACCAGAGAATTCGAACAGTTTAACGCCATGTTTCGGCTTTATCTGGACAGGAAGTTGTGTCTAATTCAGTCCATGTAAGGGTTTTTGCGATGGGGTTTATGCGATGTTGGTCTAATGCTATGAGAACATGTCCGTTTGGGAATGAGGAGTTCTATACACGCTATTTGGACCTCTATTCACATTGCAGTGGTTTACCCAGGGGGGAGGGTCCTGGGACTCAAAATCCTCCCTCCCTCCCCGCTGGGTGTTTTTTTTAAATACTAGTCTGACTCCATGATTCTTGCACCGGCAGGATTGTATATCCCCATTAGGCGTAGAAATTGACAAATTTTAACTGTAAGTCGTAAAAAAAGTTAACCGTAAAAGTGTTTATGGTAACTGCAACGAAAAAAAAAGTTAACCCTTAGCCGTAAAATGGCCAATACTTTAACCGTTATGACCCCAGTGGGACCCTCTCAGCTGGGTGAGGGCGGGCGTGGGTTGGTCAAGATGCAATTTTGGGCATCGTTAAATCTTGTCCCTTATGTATTTGCGTGTGTGTGGTTATCTATTTCCTTGTTCAATTCAATTTTTAGGATATATTATAAGACTTGATCGTAACATCTGACGCAATAATCAACGCCAGAGGGCTTCATAATAATTCAACTATTCAAACGAAGGAAATATAGCACTTGAGCACAAGATAAAATAAACCCGGCCTTTCTGGGGCTTTTAAAAAGTCATACGTGTATATGTTTACTCTTAATTATAAGCATTTGCTTGCTTTTCTCCTCGAGACATGCTTGTCTCGGAACAAACCAAAATCAAGAGGGTCTTTTTTTATTTTCACTCGTGCCTATTAAGTGCCTATCGATCAATTAAAATAAAATCATTTGAATTATCACGAAAGTTCTTCCTTATTATCAGGCGGCGAAGTGGTACGATTTCAGAAAACAAAAAATAAATGACTAATCCATCAAAGCTTGAAAAATGGTTCTGTAATGGCTAATTTCGAAAGTAAGTCTGTTTTTGGCCTAAATCACGAAAACTGACATGAAATTAATGAGACTTTTACTTTTACTTCAGTGGAGTTTTTAGCTGAAGTAAATATTAATTTAGGTAAATTGTGGCATTGAAAAACTCCAAAGTGCAAAGACCTTTCGATTTGAGTCGGCTAGAGGTTAGTTCGAGCAAAAATAAGGCGAAGGGTTCTCCACATCTTTTTTATCGGGTTGATTTTTAGTTACTCGTAGCCTAGCCTGTATATGCTACCGAAATTTTATCTTTCATAGTTTGGATTATATTGAATCAATAAGAACACCACTCAGTCAACACATGGCGCAGAGTATAATAAACTTGTCATGCACAGCAAAAACATTGCTAGCTCAGCTGCTGAAATTATTTCTAATCCATCGCAATACATTTCACGGATAAGTTCACAATGGATTTAATGTTATCCTGACTTGCAGTAGAGCTGCCGCGCCGTTATTTCACAAGCCTCGTTCAAAATTGTCTTCCTCGAAGTGATTGGTCAATGAATTTTGACCACAATGAACAGTTTGCGCAGAGAGATTGTGTTTACTGGACTGGTTTTGGTGCTGACACTCGTCCATCCGAGCCTGATTACCCTCGGCCAAAAGATGAAAGGAATCAAACTAGCTGGTAAGAATGTTCTCCATGGTGGAAACACCTACGGTAGATCAACAAGACCCGACAAAATTCACATCTAGACTCATCTCAGTTTCAGACTCGGCACGATATCCTAAACAAGTAGTGTGTCAACCTAGATGATGAGTAAGGAGGGAGGGTGGGGTGAGGGTTCACCACCATATTCCCCACTGTTTGGATTGCCACGTTACCCAACCAGCGCCATAAACTCTGTTTCCCGCTTTTTATTCCCGCATTCGGGCCTGGGATCGAGATGGGCTTCTCTATTCTCCTCAGTGGGGAGGGATAATATGACAAAAAATGTACTTTTTGACGGTGAAGGTTCTGGTTGTGGTTCCCGCAAGGTCTGCATCAGTAGCTAAAAAGAGATTATAAACGGAGCAGTTTAGAATCTCTTGTTGGCTTACAACCCTTGGTTAATACGTATGACCAAACAACAAACGTAATGCACCATATCGAACACGGTGCATTACGTGTACAAATGTCAGACCTTAAATCTTCCTGCCTGGCTTCCTCCGATCGAGGCTGTCACTATTAATTTATTTTGGCGTCGTAACCGAGGTGATACCACGTGATGCATGCGATATGATGACAGCACAAGACTAAATTAAGCAAATTCATCATTGATTGGTAAGCTTTATAATTTTATTACATGAATCTTTCCCCATGCTCTGACTACGTCGCCACCGGATAAGCATAAAATAATCCACGTATTAGATAAACACGACAAAATTTTCTCGACGAAACGACAAAGCTGCAACCGAAACAAACTCCTTTAAATCAGCAGAGATGAAATAATGTTAGCTCAGCTGTAACACACTTAAAAAATATAAAACTGTGGAACGATCAGAGAGACTTACACACAGTCCCGTCCTGTCAGCCCAAGCCGGCACGATTTTACTTTTCCATTTCAGTTAAAAAAAAAAAAAAACTGTCCCAGATTGAGTTCGATATTACATCCTGAATGTTCCACTGGTAAACTGTCGATAAGAATGAAGTACCAGGCGATAAGTTTTATTTATATCGCGATATTTATCGACCTGTTGCCAAAATGTGACCTAGCAATCCCAATGAATACAAGGGCGGACCTAAAGATGGGAGATAAACCCAGCAAGGATAAAAAGCCAGTACTTCCTTGGGCGAAAGCTAATGGACATGGTAACAATTTTTATTCCTACTTAATCCTATCCGAATCTTATTTGTGTGACATGTTACTGCTACATCCACCATTAGATACACAACACAAGGACTGAAAAATTCAGAATTATGGAGTTCCATCGGGATTGCATATGACCCTTGAGGGATGTGATATTCAAAAATTGCGAATTACTTTTCGCTCGAGGGTCCATATCAATTTTCCTGAATTTAACTCTAAGGTTAGATGAGCAGTGCTTATTTAAGAGAAAGCACGGTTCCCAGTCTAATCCAAGAGACAAACTGATGTTCGTAAAAAATGGCGGACACTACCTTAAAGTATTCTCTAAAGGGCTAGCAAACATTCCTCGAAAATTTACAAACAGGTGTCGACAAGTGCTGTCATTGTAGCAGCCAAAAAGTCTTAAAAAATAATTCCTGAACTGGGGTAATTTTCATCGCTGGTACTTACACTCTTCTCTTGCATATAGCTAGCAACAAATCAAAGCAAATAGAAAACAAAACGAGAATTTTTTTATACTTTGGAGAGCGGGACAAAGAAAAAGTTTGAGTCCCCTAAGAGGAAAAGACCCTTAAGCCGTCGGCTTTCTCGCTCCGTATTCTACTACTTAGCTGTGAAAATGTTCTAAATTGTCCCCGTTTGAGCAAAAAAAAAAAAAAATCTGCAGAAAATCGTTGACTTTGGTATAGGTATACTTCGATTTGTTGTTTTCCCAAAAAGATTGTAATTCAAAATTTATTGAAATGTTTTTGTAAAGATTTCATTTTGTTCTTAGCACTAACTCTGGCCAAGTTCTGAGAAATGGGGCTGGCGAACAACAATGATTTTTCTTGGAACGTCTATGAAGACGACTTTTAATATGGCATAGAACAAACTGAGGCAAAAGTGTCACTGAAGTTTGGACAGCTTAAACATACATCACCACACCTGTATTTATAGAGATGTTCTTCTTGTAAATGTCTTACCAAATGGCACACTCACTAAAACAGGAATTGATGAGGAACGCTTTCCCTTAGCTCCATGCCAGGACCTAAAATAGTCTAATCTAAACAGAAAAGAAAGGTAACGTCAGTTCGCTACTGAAAACCTACGGTTCCGAAAAGTTCTATTCAGTTCAACCAAGCGCGTTTACATAATATGTTGAAATTATGTTGCTATCTTCATAAGGGCCGTATATCCGTAGCTTGTATAATAAGCAAAGGTGAGGTTTGCACGTGGGCTAAGTGACCCACACTGCTATGTATACAGATGAAAACCCAATGAACGCATTTAAAATGGAGACCACATGTATTAAACAAAAGCAGCGAGTTAGGTTCTTACACTCAGATTCTCAGTGACGTCTTAAATTCAAGTCAACTTTCGATCGGGTTTGGTTCGAGTCTATTTCGAACTTTGTCAGTTCTAAGTGCCAAAACAAGAGAGGATTTAACAGTTCTCTCTTGGTGAAAAACGTGTATAAATATCAACTCTTGTCGGTTCTATAATCGAATTTCTCATAGCATATGAAGAATTTCCTTTTGCAATATTTTGATATTTAAACATAATATCATATTTGTCTCACGACTAGATCATCTGGAGGGAGACATCAAACTTTCACCAAATGTACAGTCACTTGTCGCAAAAGGTGTCAAAACGGACAAGAATTATGAGCCCAACGAGAGAGGAGCTGTGACCAACAAGATATATTTATGGACAAATGGAATCGTACCGTATGTCATTGACTCAGCCTTTGGTAAGAATTTCATCTGGAATCCCAAAGTAAAGCAGCCTTATCTCGTTTGTGGTGGATCAAAGATTATTTTTGGATGGTTGGCCGTACACACAAGTATTATATTTTCAGAGACCGAGCCAGAGGAAAGTCCGAGGATTGAGGGTCCCGGACCCTGCCCTCTTTGTTTTTTTTTTTTTCCTAACCATTTTTCCAACCATTTTGACTGCATTACCGCAGTAGGGTAGGACTAGAACGGAACATATGCGAACCATGCGAGTAGTCCACCCAATAAATCCCACCCATCCCACCCCAGGGGAGGACATCCATCACACAGTAATCTCGTGTGTGGGAAATTAACGTCTCCTACCTCAACCCTGCAGGAGACGGGACCTCCATTTATTCGTCCCTATCCGAGAAGACTAGAATATCTAACCATTTCTTGATGTTATAGAAAGGTAGCAAATTCTTCTATAAATATAGAGGCAAGACCGATACAACGCAGATAAGTAAATTTTAAGACGGAGCACTATATTTCGGCTGGCCAAACCATTGGATTGGATGGGATTCCCACTGCACCTGAAGAAGGCTGGTTTGGCCAGCCGAAATATAGTGCTCCGTCTTAAAATTTACTTATCTACGTTGTATCGGTCCTGCCTCTATATTTATATTTCATATTCGCTATTTTGGGCCGATCAGACCATCGCTGATCCAACGTACAAGAGTAGGAGTATCGTCCACGGTTGCCTGCTGAACATTTCACAGTCAAATTCTTCTCAATGATTTTATGACCTTAATTGAGTGTTGGGCCGGCCGGGGCTCGAACCCTCGACCTCCTGCACAACAGTCTAGCGCACTATCCTTTGGACTAACTGGGCGGCGGTATTAAATCAAAGGGTTTTGTGTTTGTGTTACCGCACCGCAATAGAAGGGGAAGGGGGGGGCATGAGCTGGACGAAAAGCAATTTAAGACTCCCCTATTAAAATACTGGATTGGCCCCTATCTTTTATTCACTTACGAGAACGGTCACACGTCACCCACAATTAAGAGATTTAGCTGAAAGCCAAGTTATAAAACTCTTGCTATTTCCCACCTCTTTACGAGCTATCCATACCCATATTTAATTCAGAAAATTCAATGATAGAACAAGCAGTAATGGAGTAATATGGGATGATAAGCGACCGCTCATTGACCATCACAGTGGTTGGTGGTTGGTGAAGTTTGGTTGTGTTACAATAAATGTTACCTGACACCCCCTCCCCCAAGGCTCTGTAATATTCTCTCATTGGCGATCAATTTTCAGTAGTCCCCCCTTACATATTCTGTTTTAGACAACTGATCCCCCCCCCGCCTGTTCCCTGGGAAAACCATGTGATTCCCCCAAAATCCTTCGAACCCCCTCCGGCGATAAATAACTACTTTTCCCTTAATTTCAGAAGGAACGGGTTTTACTCTGAGCGGTGCTTTCTCCCAGCAGTATATGTCCCAGAGAAATTGTTTGCGCTTTCTTTGCCAATGTTGCAAGAAAGGCGTGCCGAAATGTGTTTGGTTTTCCAGATAGCTACTCAAGCGACAGGCGAGCCATAAAGGACGCAATAGCCACTGTGGAACAGATCTCTTGTGTTCGTTTTAAAACAAGGACAAATGAGCAGTATTACATAAAGTTTGTCAGGGGCTATGGGTAGGTGCATTGTATAATCAACATTGAAAACAGCCGAGAACAACAACGGCAAGGACAAAAAAAAATGACAAAAGCAACAATAATAACTTTAATATGGTAGTTTACGCTAGGGTACACCCTCTAACGGAGCCCCATACCAAAGAAACTTGCAGTAAACCCGTCAACGACAAAAGTGATTTTGATTAATAAGAAATTTCTTTAGCTTCGTCAGTTTGGCTGATTATTTATTATTTAAGTTTTTGACTTATCTGGTATTTTAATGGCCAGAAAGTGGCCGCTTGCATGATTATTTCTTTTAACAGGATCAAGAAATAAACTGAAGCATATCTAAACATTGCGCTACCGTAATTGCGAACTGAAATGAATTTCATCCACCAGTGAGGTGCCGGACTATAGCGTATAGTGGGGTCAAAAGTCGAATTTCATTGTGTCCTGCCGAACTCAAATTACTTTTGAAAAACGATAGAAGAAATATTCCTTGCAATTTTAATTCAGTTATATCAAAACAATAGGTACAGTTCGGGACGACTAGGGCCTTTCGTTTGAAACAAGGTCTTACCATTGTCGTGCAGTATGGCAAGGCCTGTCGTTTCAAGTAGGTGCACCAAACTTGACATGGTTTGGTGACTTCAACGGTTTCAAAAATTGTACCATTGCTGGGTTAAATTTAGTTTAACCCCTGAGTCTAGGTCGGCACCGCAATCAAAATACTATCATATATTTAACTATCATCATTTTTGAATAACGCTGGAATCATCATAACTTTACGAATAATCACTTAAGCAATAGTGTTTATTATGCTAAGGTAAAGGTCTCTATTTCTCTAAACAACATACGTGTTTAGTTACAATTTTTTTAAGGTTGAAATCAGACAGGCGCCTCTGGCAGCCGTGTGTAGTCCGTAGCGATTTCACCTACCCACTCAACCCACCCCAGGGAGGACATCCATCACACAGTAATCTCGTGCGTGGGAAATTAACGTCTCCTACCCCAACCCTGCAGGAGACGGGACCTCCATTTATTCGTCCCTATCCGAGAAGACTAGAATATCTAACCATTTCTTGATGTTAAAGAAAGGAAGCATATTCTTCTCAATTAATTTTAAGACCCTGAGTGTTGGTCCGGCCGGTATTGAACTCTCGACCTCCCGCACAGCAGTCCGGCGCTCTCCCAATTGAGCTAACCAGGCGGCGGTTATGCTTTAAGTTTTCAGCATAAAAAAATATCTGAAGAACCCTTGGAGATTTGTAAATCAATCACGTCGTTACGTGATTTGCAAACTCGTCTGACGTTTTCAGGACCAACGTTTCAACTGCTGGTTAACAGACAAAAATAGCAGCTGATTATATAGAAGATATCACACGGCGGCGAGAAGTTGTGGATTTTAAGTTGGAGTGGCAGGAACAATATCTCACAAGTGAGTGCAGCGAACGAGTGAGATATCATTCGTGCCACGAAAACATAAAATTCATATCTTTGAACTGACGTTGTGATTTTCCTTATTTTAGATGCACAATAAATATGCATGGCAGAGACTGTAAAGTTGGCTTTAACACGAATACTGGGTATCAATAGCGGAAACAAAATACCCGCTGTTCAAATTATTATAGGTTTGCATTTAACACTGACAGTTGGGCCAAGATACATGTGAGCTGGTTTTATAAGCTTTATGAAAATACGATCACTGACTCTGATTGAATCATCAGCCGTTTGACAAAACTAGATAAAGAGGAAAAATGGGAAGAAAGTATAGATGGGCCCATCAGCCATTAATGCCAAGGCATTTTATTATAATAAATAACAGTAATGAATGTTTCTTATTTGTATGATGAACCAGCTGTTGGTCATACGTCGGTCAAGTCCATATGTCTGGAAGCCAGCCAATCAGTATTGGAACAGGATGTGGTTTTATTGGAACGGTATTACATGAACTCATGCACGCCTTAGGATTTTTCCATACCAGTTCACGCCATGACCGCGACTCATATGTTGTCGTTATGTCTAAAAATATCATGAAAGGTAAATACATTTGCCTTTTTATCGAGTTCGATTTCGTTCTCACTCCACAAAAGCGCAGAAAAAAAAATGGCCAAAAATTTGCCGTGTTGACCTTGCCAGCTTCATTACTATTGCTAGATTTTCTTTTTTACTTGATGATTGCTGTGGTTTTTCAGTAACTCAGTTTGTAACCAACAAAAGTTATGAGCCCAACCCTTTCTTTTCTTTACAGGCTATGAAGTGAATTTTAAAAAATATAACCATGGTGATATAGACAGACTGGAAGCACCGTATGACATGACGTCACTTATGCACCTGCCGAAAGACGCCTTTAGTAGAAATGGTCTGAACACTCTGGAAGCACGTGCTGGACCTAACGTGCCACTGGGAAGGACAGATAAACTGTCTGAGATTGATAAGGCTCAGCTAAATTCACTTTATAGTTGCACAGGTTACCCAAGTAAGTTAACGTTTGACATGCGTTGCTCAATTTTAGTGGGGAAATACATATCAGATAGCAAAAGAATGTGTGCGATTTGAGGCAAAAGGAAAGCAATTGCAACAGTCATCAGGGCTACACTTTAAATCATGGGGGTCTCAGGCGCTGAAAAATAACGGTTACCAAGTTTTGAACTCAAATCACTAAGCGAGGATGATGCGAATTTATTTCCTCTTCTTCTTGTTGAATAAAACAAACCCATATGACGCAGATCAAGTCAGCGAATACAGTTATTCAGTATGGAATGCTGGGTTAATGACCCTCAATGCGCTTCGGTGAAAATTTTACGGTGTGAATGAAGACATTTAGTCATGTCCTTGCGGCTTTAGTCCCCAGTCCTTGGATAATTCTCTTGAGCGCCGATCTAACTTGCAGCTCCCTGTAGAGCCTCTGATGCCAAATAATATTTTTCAATAGTGGTGCAAGTGTTGCTGTTTTTTAAATAATTATACGATATTACAACACTTTCCGTAAAAATTGCTCTTTTTTAATTCACTTTCTTGAGTAGAGATCACATTTCCTATACACATGCTGTCCCACAGAGAGACCCTGCCAAGAGAGGAGCAGATAATGAGTTTTACACATTCAGTCATTTTTCATGTTGAGTATCCTCATGTGTGATCTGGTTGATTTTTCAAGTAGTCTCTTTATTCCTTGAATAGGTTGTTACAAGGCGTTCGGTATGGAGTCTTTTAAAATTCCCGACTCCAAAATAACAGCCAGTTCATATAAAATGTATCATGAACCTCACCAAGCCAGGTTACATATGGTAGCCAGCGCTTCAGGGAATGGTGCCTGGTGCGCAAGTCAGAGTTTCCAGCAAGGCGAATGGCTTCAGGTACATTATTTATATCGTACTAAATAGCAATTTATGATGTGGTCCATTTTGACTCGTTGAGCAGGGAATTTTTCTCGCCAAATTGTTCTAGCTTAGAATTCGGATCACGAAGGTCAGGTTTGAGCCCTGTTTTGGATCACTTGTTTTTTGTTCAGAATTAGAATTCGGATCACGAAGGCTATGTTTGGGCCCTCGTCGGGATCACTCGTTTTTTTTTCTAGGGAAAGTAAGCGCCTTATACTCTCGCAATGTTCACCCCATCCAAGATTACAAATTGGAGTGCGCTTCGGCTGTCACAAAAAGCTGGCTTAACCTGGGGGGGGGGGGGGCGTAGGCAACTTGAGTTTAATACTAAGACAAAGAACAAATATTCACCGATGTGGAGGTGGCTAGTGGAGGATATTATTCGAGCCGTGAAGCGGCCGGATATTCACCGTTATAGTTCACCACTAAATTTTCTCCGGTTCTTATTGGTTTAAATCGATCACGTGACGCGATAGTGTTCATCCGTGGAGAGACACCATCAGCCCATAGTGCCCGCCCGCGGAAAATACCCGGATGGATAGTGCCCGTCCGCGGAAAATACCTGGATTGATAGTACTCATCCGTGAAAAGTTTTGAATAGTTTGACGGCCGTGAAGTTAGGCAGATCGGAAAAACAGTAACTTTTCAATTCTGACAGGTATAACTTATTATTTAGCCAAGGTACGGTTGTGAATTATTGACATTTGTGACAAGCTGTAGGCGCGGAAGAAAATTTAGTGGTGAACAATAAAAACAATAGAGTGTTTATGTCTCGGAACTATCGGTGTGATAGTTGCCCCTTGGAAATTTGATGTTCTTAAAACTGGCATATTTTCCCGAGAAGCAAAGCTTCGAGGGCAAATATTTGTTTTAAGAACATCAAATTTCCGCGGGGCAACTATCAGCCGATAGTTCCTCGACAGAAACGCTCTATTGTTTAATTAGTCACCGACACCGTTAGTCACCGACTCAGGCTGAGGTGAATATGTAGTTGTTTTAGTATCTATCAAAACAGTGAGATAATATAGCACAAAGAGATGATTTCAACTCATTTATTCCTCTACGGGTTTATGTCGAATTAATTTGATGGCCTGCTCCCAGTTGGCTTGTTAGCTCAATTGGTAGAGCGCTGCACTAGTATCGCAGAGGTCAGTGGTTCGAATCCCGTACAGGCCTGAAATTTTTTTCAGGTCTGATTTTCACTATTGCTCAAATAGTGCTTTACTGCGAAGGATCGTGCTCATATACGTCATTTATTCCTGTAACTATTACTATACTTTCTGGCGCAATTCCTGCGCACGTCGCTTGGAGGTGAATAACAAAGCAACTTCGAAGTTTGAGTAGCCAAGCAAAGCGCACCTTCAATAATATGTACCGTCTTAGTATGTGCTAATGCTATTTGCCATTACAAATTGGCTTGGACTGAATCTCCATAGAGGAGATTTATAATGCTCTCTGGTCGCTTGATGATCCAGACACAAGGCTAAACTCCCGCAGTTTGAGGCCAATGGGCTGCAACCTGCTTAGCTGGTGATTTTGTGTGCGATTTGAAGCGTTGGGCGGCAAGGCCGCGAAAGTTTTGGGACTGATTTCTCCTAAGTTTCCTTTCCAAGTCTCTCGCAATTTCGCTGCTTGTTTTCTTGGCTCCGCCACCCAGCATTTCAAAGCGTGCGCAAAACCGCTGGCCATGCAGGCTCTTTGACTTCACTAGGCTTCACCAATACTTCATTTCACAGCTCAGAAAGTGGAGAAAATTCTGTGAAAAGGGAACTATTTTCTCGCGTTCTCAGCTAAGTTAACTCCCTTGCCTGATATGCCGTCCTGTCGTTTGCTTATTATTTAGGTGGATCTTGGAGGAAGAAAAGTAATAACGGGAATTGCAACCCAGGGGAAAGTAAACTTGTTTGTCAATGCCTGGACAACTTTCCTTGAATTATGGTACAGCATGGACCAAAATATCTGGTATAAAGGATTTAGTGGCCAGGTAATCTAAGTCTGTGAAAATAACCACGCTAAAAATATTATGAATTTTAAAAGCCGTGTTTCTTGACGATCGATGGAATAAAACAAGCGAGTATCAACAGAAACACGACCCATAGCGCCACGTATAGGTTTGACAATCTTGAAAAATTTAGCCTGGATTTTTCACGGTCACCATTTAAAATATTCTCCATCCTGGTTTCCTCTTTGTTTATTTTCTCTCTTTTGGTGCTTCTCCGCACTTGACAATTCTCTGAAGGTCATTCAAAATATCCCTTTCAAAATCTACTAAATATTTTCGTGCACAGTATTCGTCTATAGTGCAGAGCACGTGACCGAATATTCCCAGACAAAAACGGAAGTACATCTGGTGACGTCTTGTATAGTATCCTTGGAGATCGCGTATACTTTTCCTTTGTTGGGGGATGGAGAATACAGTTTCTTTATGGCTTCTTGTATTCGCTAGTCACGCTTGAAATTGAGGTCAAAAGGGAACTAACTGACTGAATAAAATTCAAAGTTCGTAAATGGAATAAAAAATGGTAAATTTTGAGCTCGGTCATGAAATTGAAACAGATGTTCTTTTGTCTTATCACGAGCGTGGGACGAACGATAAAGTTATGAATCCCCGTAAAGAATCGAACCGCAGACCAAAACACACCTTTCTTTTAATTCAAAGTTCCTTGAAAAGCTGCAAGGAAGAATGCAAGCGTGTTTGATCGATCCATCATCCATAGAAGTGATTGTTATCCACATCAGATGGCAACGAATTTATGTCTTCTTACTTTCAGTTAATTTCTGCAAACTTTGACATGAGCTCAGTTCAATATAACCAGGCGCCAACACCTTTCACCGCACGCTACGTGCGATTTGAACCTATGTTTTGGTACAACGAAATTTGTCTCAGGGTGGAAATATACGGGTGTGATGGTGAGTAAAATGGTTGAAATTTATGAAACGTTCTTCGCGTGGTCCGAAGTGATGATATGAACCTTCAACAGCGACAAAAATTTAAGAACTGGATAGAGCTCAAGTGTAGTGTCAATATAAAGAAAACGAGTACCTGTAACTTGAAGCCGTGTTAGGTTGCGTTCACAGCTCTTTGCTCAGTACAGGCACAGATCTAGGAATTTGTTGCTCAGGAGGTTCAAACTACGAGGGGAGGGGGGAAATGAAGGTCCGAACCTTCCGAACCCTTCCCCCTGGACAAACGCTGCCATAGGAAGCGGAAAAAGGTCATTGGATAAACGTTCCAAATGTTGTGGTTATAATTTTGTAATTTTTTCCTTTCAGCTTGATGATTGCATGCAGCTTCTTGTGCCTCCAGAAAGTGTTTTTAATTTGCAACTGAAACAGATGTTAATACCACATACATCAAGGGAATAACTTTGAAACTCAAATGGTCAGAGACAATAAACTTTCCCTGAATATAATGACTAGGAACAGAATCATACTGGTGTCGCACTAGGTGTATTATTTGTGGGATGTGCCCTTGGAAAACGGGTGTCGTAATAAAGATTATTTTTGTTCGCCGATGTACATTTGACGTTGACACTTAGCCAGTTGGCCGTTTCCTTTCAACACGCGAGAATATCATTATTTATAATCCAGTAAATGTTTTTGCTCGTGCGTAATTGGTCAAAACGCATCGCATGCCCGATAAATCCCATCTAAAACTAGGGGATATCCAGGATATACATCATGTGATATTCCCAATTTTCAAACCTTTCGTTTATTACGAAAAACTCTGCGATTAAAATTGAATTCAAGATGAGAAACGTGATTGTTATAGGAGGAATATGCTGTTTTTTGTTCATAAAATCGTATCACAGAACACTGAAAAGTGAACATCCAACCCCGTAAACGGTAAGCTGTTCGTAAACAGTTATCCCGCGTGTTGAAAAATATTTGAAGGATAATAAACACGATAGCCTGCATTTGGCGCGAAAATATGCTTGTAAATTTGTCCTTGGTCATTACCTGTTCCTCGAAGCTCACAGCTCGTATTTCGGAACGGATAACGTCCGCGGATAAAAATCCGTGCGTACTTTCGCGCCAAATGGAAGCTATTGTTTTTGCAACCATTCAATTTTCAATCATACTCACCCCCACCTCCAAGCCATAAGTGCAATACAACAAAAGAAAAAATTGCGAACAGGAACCTGCACTTCTCAAAGTTATCGTCAAGGGGTTTCTGATAAATACGTAATCGGTATTTACTGGGAAGATAAGCTAGTCAGGTTCTTTAACAGGTGCTATTCGTCTAGTACGTATCTTTGAGATCTGATAGGCTCTCAGAAGTACGATTTACCCAAGAATCGCATTAAATTTTTTTGCTTCGAATCGCATCTACTTCCAGTTACACTTTTAAACAAACTGGCTTGTGAAACAGTAAAATATTGCGTGGTTTAGTACAACAGGTTTGAATAACTGAATCATTTTTCACTGTAGTAAAAAGTCCTATGCAAAACGCATCTTACGTCTATATGTGAAATACAAAAATGTCTCAAAAATTCACTTTCCCTCTAAATTTCCTATGGGACGAACAACCTAAAAGGAAAGTTTGACAAAATCTCCCTACTGGTTCCATGTATGTTGACGCTGCATGAAATCACTAAAAACAAAACATCCTTCAAAAGGCACGTTTTATTTCTCACAACCGATACATTAGCACTCTGTAAAAGGAAGACCTATTCTGGAAATCTGTTTTCCTATTTTGAAAACCTGTTCCAAAAACATTTTTTATGACACTCCTTTAAAAACAACACTTCAACATCGATGATTCCATATGGAAAATGTTTCACATTTCATGACGAACGACCTGAACTTAAACTGCTACACTTCACATTTAGATATTGCTACTTTATGCAACTCATTCAAAACCGATCCGTTGGTTGAGCCAGACACATGTAGCAATTCGTAAAACCTTCGATGGCCAATTAAATTGGCCCTTGAAAGATTAACCAATCACTACTCAGGGCGTATGAAGTTTGATAAAATAGTGTTACTATTATGCAGTCGATATTACTACTTGAAGAAAATTGATACAGAGTCTAACTGGCTTCTTGCGTTACTTTTTCTTCTACCGTGAGGCTAAAAGCCGGTGTCTGCAGTTTAGGAAAGACCATTTGAAAAAGAGAGGGCAGTTAAAAGACAAAGTATCACTGAGCAAACGCCATGAATAGACGTGCTACGACTTCATGCTTCTTTCATAAGGGCCGTGTCAAACCCTTCTACCTTAACCAACACCATATAAATTCATACCATACTATTATAGAAAACAGAGAAGACGAACTGTAAGTTAACCGTTTAAAAAACTTCAGCCGAATTTCAGATACAAAATTGCATAGCTAATTCAGCGTGACGACTTCCGAGACAATCGTTAACTGCCGTAGTGTTCCTTAACCTTGTTTAGAAGAGCATCACACATGGTTTTAGCGTCACCCAAGAGCATGCAAGTGTTGGGTTTGTAGAACACTGGGTTATCCACGTCTGCGTACCCAGTGCCCAGCGTGCGCTTCATCACGATCACCTGTCAATCAGAAACGAATTCGGTTCTTAATTTCAAAGTTTTACAGTAGCACTGAACTAGGCTTATACCATACACTAGGCTTATTCGAGTATTCGTGTCTCACTTAGAAGGGGTGTTGAGTAAAAATATACCAATTATTTTCCATCACCCCTGTCAATAGAGTAATAAGGTTACTTGGTGTTTAAAATCTTCGCTGGTTTGTTCATTCAGTGACGACAATTTGTACTGGGATCTCGCAAGAGAAAACAACGCAAATCTTTCAGGGAAACTCGTTTTTAGCTTCGGAAGATCTTCACGACCAAAACAAAACCTGAAAGTGAGAAAACTTCGCTTCATATGCCGCGCTTAGCAAGAAAACATTGACAAAATAATTTGCCCGGCCATTCTCGAAACCTTACGTAGACACGGCATAAACGGTTTGTTTAATCACATATCTAGTAAAAAAAGTCAAATATACAAAACTCTGTAAGCAACTTGCCTGCTTTGCTTTCCAAACTTCCAGAACAGGCATACCCGCAATCACAGAGTTGGGATCGTCTTGGGCAGCGGAGTTGACTGTATCGTTCGCACCGATTACCAGAGCAAGGTCAGTTTCAGGAAAGTCTTCATTAATTTCGTCCATTTCTAATACGACGTCATATGGTACTCCAGCCTCAGCTTCAAAGATGAATTGACACGTGTTATAATTAAATTATTAATTAAAAAATATTAAGATTTTTACCCCGCTACTTCGAGAAGAGTGAATCGGAGGCATTGAACGTAAACCTGACTAACTTGTTTTGGGCATGAAGTTTTCAAGCTCTTAATTTCTGCTGTTGAAGAAGTAAAAATCATCTCTTCATTATTTCAACTGCTCAAATAAGACTGAATTGCTAATAGCAATAAGGCTACATACTCGCGCGAGAAAAATGAGAAGTTGATGGCAGACTATCTTTACAAACGAAGAAATCTTCCGAGCGTTGAGTCCATTCCCTACTAAAAGCGCTCAAAAGTAAAGGAGATAAAGCTCCTCAGATTGTAGATTTTCTCACAAACGTTTTCTTTCATCCATTATGTTTGGACCGCTGTAAAAGAAAACTGTTTCCACGAAACTTAAGTTGGCTCACCCAGTAATACGTTCAGCTGTCCCGGCATACGTCCCGCGACGGGATGGATCCCGAAGCGTACGTTGAGTCCCCTTTGTTTAAGCTCTTTAACCATGTCAGCGATAGCGTACTGCGCCTTCGCCACGGCCAGTCCGTATCCCGGTGTGATGATTACATTCTTAGAAGATGTCAGCATTTCCACAGCGCCTTCTGCGTTAATCTCTGTGTGAGTTCCAGTGATCTTCTCCCTTTCTCCTGTCCCTATTACAACAGAAAACAATAAATAGGTCAGAGAATTCCTTCAACGCAGAAACCAAAGGGAGAGGTTCAAACGTCTCCAAGCCGGAGGCTATCGATGACGATTTGAGGTAAAAACTAAGTACCGCTAGTCGCTGAGAGTTAGTAACAAGCGCGCGCGTTTTTTCAAGTGATATTCCGGTTTGACCAGTTTGTTACGTAACCAAATAAATATCGACGATTAAGCGCGCGCGGTACGAGAATTACACGTTAAGGACTTGGTAATTCATGATGTTTTAAATGTTTTCACCGCCGCAGTTTCAAAACTGAAAACTTAATTCAACAATCCGAGGAAAATAAAGCCTATTAACAGTACACTGCATTGAGACATTTTGCGCATAGGTTGTGGGATTCACTGAAGTGAAAATGCGACAGCGTTAAAAGACCTTGCTTATTATAAATAGTTGGTTCAGTGACATAAGAATAATCGTGGCAATGAAGAATGGTATCCATTAAGCAATTAGAACAAAGTCTCTAATAATCGGTGGCTCGTTAGAAGATTTGCGTCATAATAGTAGGCGTACATTTGGGTCACAATTAAGTGTGAAATGATTCGCCGTTGATTCTAACAACAAATGAATTCTCCTTGAAGTGATGTTTTCTTCTTTCTCCAGCCTTGTTTGGGGATCGTCGGAGGGAAACCCAGAGGGTGTGAACAGCGATCAGGTGTTCGACGACTCCAAGGTTATAGAAGACGATTGGGTATTGATTGAAGAAATACCGAACCATGGCGAGTTTGCACAAGAGGGTAGACGTGTTCCGTCTCTTCAAACCTTGCCTGAGGCCAAGGAATCGCAATTCAGTGACAATGCTAAAGATACTTCTGCAGCGCCGGGATGTTCCTCACGCACTGAAAATACATATCTGAATGAAAAAACTTCTCATGGGTTTTTGTTCGCTGAGAAACAATCAAATGCAAGCGACAAGTCATCGCTTGAAATACTCTTCGCTGAAGTTCAGCCGAATAAAACCGAAAGCAAAGATATCTCTGACTGCTCTATGAAAACCGACGAAACTGACTTCGGCGAAAAATCCTCGCTCCAATTTCTTTTTGACGAATCGTTTCACAACGACATTGCCACCGGCGGACAAAGCGCTGCATCGCAATTCTTTATCAAACCAACGCTCGATCCTCCGATTATTCAAGTTCCAAATACTGGCCAATCAAGACAACAATTCACCCACAGATCGTACAGTGCCGACTTTTACCGAGGAAATCCCGACGTTGTTGTCGAGCCGACCGTGTTGAGGCGGCGTCACTCGACTAGACTTTCTAAGCGCTCAGGTGATTCTGCGTCTGCCATGGTTGGTCCAGTCGTGGTTCAAAAGAAGACGAAACTTCCATCCGAAGGAACTTCCGGTGCGGGGCGAGGAGACGATACAAGGAAGAGGACCAGGCGGGCTAACAGCGTTGCATGTGTGCAGAGCGATAACACTCACGGAAGGAGAAGAAAGCGGACGGCGGAAAAGTGTAGTGGAAAAGGTGGCCGAAGAAACTGTTAGCCATCTCCTTTTATCGGATGTTGCATCGACATCATCGGACATGTTCGGGTGACTTCAAGACAATCTGTTTAAGGATAGTACTGTCTCGTGTTCATATACAGGTTTTCTGGTGCAGTAATTGTTCCTACCTTTACCCGATAATCGAATCAGTGAGTTAGAATTTCACATGTTTGGCCAACCGTTGTCCTTCTTTCTCAATAAATAACCTAAACCTATGTTTCAAAATCTTTCATTAATAACGCTTTAACAACGTGTCCACTGCACCCTTGAAATCGTGCAGTTCTATGCAAATGGGGAAAGTGAGGATAATACCCTGACGTTCTTACTCGCCTCGCTCAACCGAGCGCAAATAAGTAAGGGAGTGGGGGGTGGGTTGTTTCCAAACAAACTGTTGCTGCGTCGGTGGGGTAATACATGATTATTTGGTTTATCAACTTGATAATGTAAATTGGCCAGCGTTAACAGATTCTAAACCTGATGTTTTGAGCGTTAGCCTTCGCTCTTTAACCAAATTATCGAGTGTAAATGAGCTTACATTTCGAATTTGGTAAAGTAACCAAGAAAAAAAGAACTACGATTTTGAGACTAAGAAATCTTGATGTTTCGTCAAATTTAGGTTATTTTCGGACAAGTTTTTCTTGATTACACTCTTCGATAAGTTCTTATCGAAATAAATTCCCTTTTGCCTTCAGATGAAAATCAAGTAAGGCAATGATCCTCGCAAGCGAGCCGCGATTTAAGCAATTGCCGATCGAGTTGCTTAAATTGCAGCACACCCACGAGGGTCATTGCTTTACTTAACTCTTCGAAAAGTCTCCCGATCAATGAACATGAAGTTCGTAATTATCACAACTTTATTTGCATTTCGCAACCTCGAGGAGCACAAACTTCACGTCTTGCAAAGTAGCAGATAAAAATAATTTCAGATTCAGTTTAAAGTAAAGGAGCTTCCTCTACACAAATCGAACACCGGAAATTGAAATGACAAAAACTTTCTTGGCTTGAGACACTTCAACAAAGTACGCGCAAATACCGAGATGCATCTTTGACTAAGCGTTTTCTTCCCAAACCCTTCTTTGTTGATTATAGCCTCGCTGATACCTACCTGGCTGTAAGAACTTTTCGCCAAGATGATTGGGGGAGGAGTAGTTTGATCACTGTTCTGACATAGTTCGCCGTAATATACGCGTTGCGGAGTAAACAGGATACGAATTTTTTTGCGTGTTAGAGTGAGTCCTTTTTCGCCAATACAACAACGTGTGTCATATATGTACATGCCGTACGAACCTTTAATTTTGCGTTAGAAGAGAGTATAAGAGTTCTCTTGTAGCCCGCTACAAGGTTTACTTTTAAACTATACACAGCGAGTACTGTGAACTGTCGCTTGTGCATCTTCGAAAGGGGTTTTAGGAGGGCTTATAAAATGGATAGGCTTATATGCGGAATATAAAAATAAAACGCTTCTAAACGAGTCATAGAAGTGCTGGTGAAAATAGGTTAAGCATTCACTGGTTTTTAATGAAGCTTCAAAATGTCACAATAAAACGAATTCATGACAATACATTTGGAACAGAATTAAAGCCAACAACACGAACAAACCTGTCCTGCACTAATTTAAATATGTTGTTTGAAGTAGTACGCTAAAAACAAGAAAACCTAGATGATGGGCTTACATCGAGGGGGGAGTGGGGGGCCCTACAATCGGATGTAATTTTTTTGTTTACAGGAGGTTATAAGCGGCAGTTAACGGCACTTTAAGGTCAACGAGAACAATATCGATAAAACTGCGCAGACTTACCAGTAGACAATGTTCCGTAACCACCAAACAGAACATTAGATAAGGAGCGATTCATAGCCTTGCACATGATATACGACAAGATTCCTCCAGAGAATCCCACAAGGGCTCCCACGATGGTGAGCAAATCGTTGTTCAACATGAACCCTTCTGCACAGAGGGCCCAGCCACTGTAGCTGTTAAGGACAGTGATAACCACAGGCATGTCTGCTCCGCCAATCGATGCTGTCATGTGCACACCCATGATGGAGGACAGCGCGGCCGTAGTACCTACAGTTCACAAGCAAACACTAATCAGGATAATTGATAAACATGTTCTGCATCATGCTTAGGACCCTTAACGGCTCTATGATATCAATTTGCCTTTCAAAAATGGTTTTTTTCCATTCTTGGTCGACGAGGGAAACTAGAGTAAACCAATATAAATTAAAAAAACAAAATAAATTTTTTTTTAAGTGGAGTGAGGTACATGTATTCACAACACATGGTAAACTTAAGGAGGGCGCAGTTCCTTGACCCCTAACAAGAATCTAAGGTTATGAGAATAAATGAAATGATCACCAACTAAAGAAGCTCTTTAGACAAATTCTCCTTGTCAGCACCTTAGGAAATGTACAGACAACAGTATGGAGAATATGCATACTCATGTTAGGGGGTCAAAGGCATAAAGTATCTAAAGCGTATTAGCAGCTGTGACAAAGAAACGCCTTTATACTACATGGTCAAGTAAAGTTCAACCTACAAACAGGTGTTTTGTGCCATAAGTTACAGATATAACCAAACAGACAGTCGTGCTTAAGACACACCTTGCGAAAAAGATAAACTGTGACATAAAAAAAAAATTCAAACCTACTAACCCAGCATTGGTATTCCGACTGCAGCACTGTCGGTACCCATATACCAGCCCATAGCTGCAACATTTGCCAATGCCATGGCGATATTTAGTTGGTTTTTTAGTGGTAAATTCAATGCCTTGGAGTCAAGCAGCCCATGAAGCTTGCCAAATGCCACCAGAGACCCCGTGAACGTCACCCCACCAATATAGGTGCCGAGAAAGATAGCTGCTTTATGGACATTCCCTGAAGGATCGTCGGCAAAAAGGTCCACATCAGCTAAGTACTTAGCAATGGCGGTAAGAACTGCAGCCAAGCCAACAAAACTGTGGAATGCCGCAACCAGCTGCGGGAGATCGCTAACAGCAATGCGGCTAGAGATAATGGCCCCAATGGTGCCACCCACACCCATCATAGCACCCATCTGTGTCAGCACATCATGGGAAGGTGCCAAAGCACCCATGGTGGCTGTCATACCAGTACCTATACCGATAATACCTGTAAACAATCAATAAATACTGAATTAGATACTATCAAACTGAAGATGTGCAATTACCGACACTGGCTAAACGTTTACAGTCAAGGCCAATAGGAGAAAAGTTTTCATAAAGACTCTACATGTAATTCCTAATATAAAGTATTGCTGCTCAAACAATACAGCCTAAAATGGGAGAGGTACAATCAAAGCGCTGGAAAGTTAATGAAACAGTCTCTTTCTTCTTTGCATCCAGTTCTTCTTTATCAAAGACCGGTTTCACCGGTACAAAGGCTGCACTTAACCATACAACTCTCCCTAAGAACCACAGTCCAGTGCCGGGAGCTAAATAAATTAAACTTTTCTTGGAACAAAAATTTCGAACGAGATGCCTCTTACATGAAGGAATCTCTCAAAATACGACTCTAAGAGAAAAATTAAAAGAGTACTTTTCAATATTCTGTCTTCGGAAGACTCCTATCTCGACATACGAAACATCAGTTAAAAGGTCAAATTTTCTTAAGGTTTTTAATGTATTTCTAGAATAACAAGTATAGCCTTAATTGTACTATTTTTTTATTTTTGTAGTATCTTTGTTTTTATACCTACTCTTTTTATTTAACTTCCTGATTTCTGTAAACCTGTATACTTATTCTCTCTAATTAATTTCCAGATTTCCGTGAACTTGTATACTAACTTTTTTTTCTTAGTTAAGACATGACCCACCTAGATTAGCTAGCTACCTGTAGGCATGTCCAATTTGTTAAAATAGTCATTAGAAATTAGAATAAATAAAGGTTGTTGTTGTTGTTGTTCTTTGTTTTCTTCTCTTGTTTTCTTGCCTCGAGCCTCGATCTTCGAGCATTTCGACAATCGAATATCGTGTTTTGAGTTTCAAGGAACTTTCACCTCACTTCTGCAAGGTATTGTACAAGAATAATCATAAATGGAGGTCCCGTTCCTGCAGCGTTAGGGGTGGGAGACGTTAATTTCCCACGCACGAGATTACTGTGTGATGGATGTCCTCCCCTGGGGTGGGATGGGTGGGTTACTGAGCCCGCAGTGATTGGCGCAAAGCTGTTGCGGTGTCCCTGCCTGTTGGCAAATCTTGTAAATAAATAAATAAATAAATAAACATACCAAGAGCATTTCCTTGTCTGGCCGTAGTCTGAGTGGAGAGGCCTCCAAGAGCACCAACACAGCACAGAGAGGAAGCCAGGTATGCCATCTGATCGATATCAGGATACCCAGCCATCTTACCCGCAGCATAACCACCAAGAACAGCTGCCCCAGGAATGGCATACAGGTAGGTGTATTCAGGAGGGTCATCTTTGCGAAAAATGTACTGTCTTACCATCTATGGTACATGTATGTTTATCAATAGTTTTATACAGATACAACTGGATTATTGTGAACTGGTGTAGCCCACTGAGAGGTAAATTTTGGTCAGTTAATAGCATTCGAGACTGGGTTCTCTCTGATACAGTCCTGGGCTAAGTCGACTTCAAAGCTAGTTAGCTAATTCCCAAATCAACTTTCACCGTATTGATGAAAATATTTTAAAATCAAATTTGAGCTGCAGAGGAAAGATTTTTAAAAAAGAAAAGATCATCACAGTGATGAAAAAAAAGAAAAAAAGGATAAAAGAACTTTCAGTGCAGTGCTGATGCATTCTTACAGCTGCCTACATGTCACAAAACAAAAGTATCTCATGCTTTTAGTAAATCTGTGAAGCATTCATACCTGGCCTCCTAAACATATCCAACATGCGCTTAGTGATGATAAATCCACCCGTGATGTTTATACTGGACACCAAAGTTGCCATTGCAGCAAGGGAGGTTGCAGTGTTGTTAGGTAACACCCCTCCACCCATTAGCACCAACCCTCCTGCAGCTGTGATACCTGATATAGCATTAGTGACAGACATCAGGGGGGAGTGCAGTGCAGGTGTCACACCCCAAACAACCTTGTAACCAATCACACCGGCTAGAGAGAATGTGGTTACCATAGTAGCAAAGGCAGGATTAGGTGAAATGACTCCCAGGCCAAGAAGAGAACCTAGGCCAGCTGTGGAGTAAACAAATCCAGCATAGCGTGTAAATAATAACTCCAGTAAATGAACAAAGAACTGAAAGCATTACAGAGCATTCCTGTACAATTACGATTCCAAGAGGAATTGAAGAATGCTCTATCAAATTGGATCCAAAGGAAACAATTGGCTGAGAATCAACCTTGACACAGCCAAACTTACAAACTGTGTGTTTTGACCTTGCATATGGCCATGCAGCAAATAGGTCCACAAAGAACATCACTTACAATATATGCTCAACTCAACTCCTAAATAACATATACATTATTGTATCATATCAGCTGCCAGTACAAGTCAATATATATTTACAGGCCCATGTGCAGATACACTTTACACATTTGCACTTTCTTGCTGATCAAACATAATATTATGTAGTGCACATGGCACTAGCGGCCAATTCATTTTATGAGGGGACGGAATTTGAACTGAAACATGCCTTTCAGATTTTCAGCATGCCAGATACTTCTTCCACAAAACCATCTCAAAATATTCAACATTACAAGATCCAAATCAACACTTGTAAATCCAAAATTCAAGTGCACCATATTTCCTTGAGTAAGCACCCACCCCTTGGACAAAGCATCAAACAACCACCCCTCTACCCCTCTTGGATAGCCCCCCCCCCCC